CCGTATGCTTGCAATCAGTATATGTATGAATGTTTACATGTCTCGTCACGTCGAGAAAAAGAAACATGTTTTGCAAAAATGGTGGAGAATTATTACTATATACTACAAGCCGGCCTACGTGGCCAGCGGCAGGGAGCACATTAACATGGTGACCCCGTAGCCAAAACGCATCCTGAGCTGTGACAAGCAGAGAGCGGGAAATAAGCAGTCAATATCGACCAAAGCGAGAGCAGACAAAAAAAGCCAGCCAGCCATCATCCACCGCCGACCCCTTTTTTGAAAACCTCGTTGAAGACCCCGCTATGCAGAGAGTGAGAGAGCGAGTAACAAATGAGAGAGAGTGTGTGGAAGAAGAAAAAGAGAGCAAAACTGGCAAAACAGGAGAGAGTTCAATCAAAAGACCAAAAACGACAGGCCGTCAGCCGAGACGTCCAGAGCCCCGCGTATCGCAGGCGCAGAGTCCGCATACGCTTTGGGGATGCAGTGCTCGCTGGAAAGAAAGTGGGTATCAATCTACATTGTGTGCATTGGGGTTTGATGGTATTCTGGATGGATGTATGCGGAGGTCCAGTCTTCGTCTCTTTGATGTACGTTTTCGACAAAGGAAAGAATAGCGACAGCTTCAAGGACATCAAATTTTAGTCCTCCTCGAAGAAGTCGTTGTCGTCAAAGTCACCCGCGTGCGCATCCGAGTCATACGAGCTGGACTGCATCATCGGAGGCGTCGCTGGGTGGCTCTGGCTCTGGCTCTGGCGGCGCGGCGGGGTGCTATCGCCTTGCAAGCTGGTCTGCGGCATCTTCTGTGCCTGCTTCGCCGTGACAGAGGGTTTGCGCGAACGTTGTGCGAGCTCAGCTGAAGTCAAACGGCGGCCGGTGTTGTTGAAAGCAGTAGGCTGGCTCGGTCCGGGCTTGGGTGAAGGGGTCTGGCGTAGATTGGAAGCCGGCGGAGTGAGCAATCCACCGAGGAAGCTGCTGGGCATCTGAGAGCTGGTCGACCGCGAGGGCGTCGAGTTGTTCCTCGAGGCAGGGCCTGCTGGCGACGACATGACGCCCGAAATGCTTCGGTAGCTTGGCTGTTGTTGCTGCTGCTGTTGCTGGGACTTGCGCCAGTTTCCCCAAGCGGCAGCGAAGGGGCTAACAGCCTGTGCCATGCGAGGAGAAGCGGCCTGTAGCAGGTTGATGGCTGAGCCGCCGTTCAGAGCACGCTCTCGTTCCTGCTCTTCCATCTGAAGGTTGGCCTTGAGACGGATGGCAGCGTCCTTCACAGCCTCGCGGTTATAATCTTCGCCAGAGAGGGCAGCGATAATGTCCTGGAGGTCGGCGTGCCTGACAGCGAGAAGCTCACGCAGCCAGGTGATCTCGTCGTCCCGCTTGGAAATCTTGGTTGGCGCTTCAGGATCCAGCTTCTCGATGTTCTGCTCGAGTTCCTCAATGCGCTGTTCGCGCGCCTGCAGCTGCTCCTGGAGCACCATGATCGATTCACGGAGCGCCTGCGGCGAGATCTTCTCCGGCAGTCCCATGGACTTCGCAGCCGGCGTGGGCGCGGTCGTGACCTGGGCTGCAGCACCAGTAGAGACAGGGGCAGCGAAATTGGGCTGCGCCTGCTCGACAACAGGCGACTTGGCGCGCTTGGCAGCTGCTAGAGCAGCTTCCTTGGCAATCTCGAGCTTCTCTTCGAGATGGGCGACGCGGTCTTGAAGATGCTCCGTCTTGGACGCGGAGAAGCTGAGACGCTCAAGTAGGTGCTGTTCAGCCTTCTGGGCCTCTTCGACAGTGTTGCCCAGCTGCATAGCGTGGCGGGTGTGCAGGTCCTCAACCTCATTCTGATGCTTCTCCTTGAGCTGCTCAATCTCAGTTGTCTTGGTTGTCTGGACTTCCTCGACGAGCATCTCCGCCTGCGCCTTGGCTGACTCGACATCAACATTGGCCTGGTCAAGTTCAGCCTGGAGCTTGGAGATCTGCTCCTCCAGGTCGCGTCGAACATAATTGACTTGGTTGTTGGCCTCGTCAATCTCGGACTGCAGGGAACGGCGCGTGCGCTGAACCTCGCTGGCTCCAGACTCCCTCGCCTCCTCAAACTCGCGCTGGTGACGCATGGCCTTTTGCTCGAGCTTGTGGTTCTCAGTCCTCAACTCGGCGAGGAGAGCCTCCAGGCGGTTGCATTCGCCAACAGCACGCAGGCCCTGGCGTTCGCCGTTCTCGAGACGTTCAATCTCGGCCTCGAGACGCTCCCTAGTTCGAGCCTCGGCTTGGAGTCTAGCATCGAGAACCTCTTGGCGGGCAATAAGTGTCTGCTCCCTCTTGGTCCTGCGGGAGTGTTCCTCAGTGATCTCGCGGGCTGCTGTGGTCATCTCCTCCTGCAAAGCCAGGAACTTGGAGCGCCAGCTCTCGCGTACCCTCTCGTTCTCTTGGAGCTGTGTTCCGAGAGTATCAAGGAACCTCTGCTGCTGCCTGTTCTCCTCAAGTGCGTGATCGAGCTCGTTGAGCTGGCGGCGAGAAGTCTCGGCAGCACGGTCAGTCTCAGCCTTGAAGTGGAGAGCTTCCTGTCGGGCCTCGCGGAGGTCGTGTTCAAGCACGTTGGTCCTCTTGATGAGCTCGGTCCTCGACTGGTTGCTGTTGTTCTGGTCCGCCTCAAGCAGCGACATGCGCATGTTATTCTTGGCGCCCGATACCTCAATCGCCTTGATCCTTTGGTCACGCTCTTCCACAACCTCGCGAAGGCGGTTCTCCTCCTCAGAAGAAATGCGGAGCAGGCGCTGAACTTCGGACAGTCTGTCCTCTGCGGAGCGTCGGATTTGAAGCTCCTTCTCCGTTTGAGCCTCTTGCTGCTTCAGCTTTTCATCGAGATCTACAGAACGTTGATCGTAGATGCTACGGTTCATGATTTCGACCTCGAGACGGGTCTCTGCGGCCTGCAGATTCCGTTGAAGCTCCGCTGCCCGCTCTTCCGCCTCACGGCGGCTGGTCGTTTCTTTATCAGCACGGTCCTTCTCCACGCGCAGGCGTTCTTCCAGATCAGCAATCTTGCTCTTGTATTCAGACTCGGTGTCAGTCGTAATGGTGGGCTGCGCAACAGACGGCAGACGACGCTCGACGACTTCCTCGATGATGCTGCGGAGCTCAGCACCACGGGGCTCCAATGGCAGGCTCTGGCCAATCTGCTCCTTCATCTCAGCCAGCGCCCGCAGGACAACTTCCGAGGACGCATCACCAGCAGAAGCAGATGTGGGGACGCCTCGCTGCGTTGTGGCGAAAGCGTCGAGAATGGTGGTACGGATCTGGTCCATCCTGCGATCCCGGCGGGGGCTCATTGACCGACGCAGGACCGGCTCCTCGTCTTCGTCATCGGCGTCGCTCTCTTGCACTTCGGCGGACATGCTGCGGCGCTCGCGACGAGCTGAGGTACCTGCCTGTGAAGCGAAATGGCGTTCGATGGCGAGCAGCGTCTTTTCCAACGGTTGCAGGCGGGCCTCGAGAAGGTCGCCGACAACATCGTTGACGCGTCCATCGAAGAACTGAACGCGCTGGCCTAGCTTCTCTTGCTCATCATCGCTGAACGTACCATCCCAGTCGCTGTTGGCAACGTCCTCGCTTCCGTTGAGGCGGTGTACAGGAGCGTTGAACGACTGGGCACTCTGCGGAGGATCGACGAAAGGATCCTCCAACTCGGTTGTGGGGATCGGCGGAGCCAGGTTCGGAAGCTGATGGTATTTGCGAGGCTCGGGGCTGGACGCATCCACAGTGGAATGGGTTGCGGGCTGCAAGTGGAAGGGAGAAGAGTTGGTAACGTCGGCAATGGAGATGTGCCTGGTAGGACTGGGTTGAGCCCAGCGAGGCTCCTCGGCGGCCTGCTTGTTGACTCCCATCATAGGGTCGTTTTGGTTGAGGTGGTCCATGATGGCATCGATCTCCTCGAAAGTCGGTTCGTGCTCCGGGCCAGATGGGGGCAGCTCCTCGGAAACATCGTCGGCCCAGTTCGAGGTGCGACCATCGGGCGACAAAATTTGCGGTGGCGGCAACTCGACCTCCTTGTGCGCCGGCTTGGGAGGCGATGCGAAACGAGACGCCTTGAGGCCCTTAGGCTTCGGTGGAGGCGAAGCAAAGCGGGAGGCCCCGAGTCCCCTGGACAATACGGGTTGCTCGATCTGTTGCTCGACAGGAACGTGGGCTGTCTTCTCTCCAAGAGGCTGCTCAAACACTGGCGTCGGCTCACGTGCGTCCTCGATCTGCTTCTCCTCCGCCTCAGCCACAGTTTCATGAGCGTCAATAGCCTCGACCTGGCGAGTGGGAGGCTCAATGGTGGCCTCCCTGTCCCGGTCTTGCTCGTCTTCATCATCTTCAACATTGGATTCGGGTTCCACAACATTTTGCCAGGACCCGCCAGGAACGAACGCTTGGGCAGTAGCTGAGAGGCTCTTTTTGTGTCCCTTCTTGAAAAAATCTTGGCCGAAAGGTCGAGCATCGTTGAACACTTGCGCGTCGTTCTTCCTTTCGAAGTCGAAGGGAGTCCAGTTCAGCTGATCTCTGCCGCCATCGGATGGACTTGTCGCCGTAATGGCCTTGGAGTCAGCCATCTGTTCGGACACGCTGGTGGAAGACATTGTCGTGTCGCCGGGTGTCGCATCGCCGTCGTCGCCGGAGCGCATGTCCACGGCGTCTTGCTCGACAGATGCTACGGGCTGGGCAAATGCAGGCCGGGGCGACGGCGTAGGCTCGGCAAAGCGAGGCACCTCATCGCCATCGTCTCTGGCCACTTCCTGTCTCCGCTTGGGGCCCGCAGCATTGACGACACGGCCCTCCTCATCAACCTCATATGGATTTCCCTTGGTTGGCTTAGGATCTCGGCTGGCTGGCGGGACGATGGGAATGGCCTTCGACTTCTTTGAAGTCAGAGCTTCCGCGAGATTAATATTGCCAAAGATGGACTTGGGGCCAGCCGCAGCAGTGTCAGTGCCCGAAGCATTCGGGCTGGTGAAGGCATCCGACAAGCCACCAGAAGGCGTGAAAGGAATCGCATCGGGACGGAACTTGGGCCCAGACATCGAGAAGTTGAAGGTACTAGTGCCGGGCGAGAAAGGCGCGACGCCGGCATTCATGCTCGAAGAGAATGAAGGAGCGCCAAACGAGTGGCCGGAGGGCGAGACTACAGATGGCACAAACGGTTCAGATTCCGCATGGAAGACTTGTGTCTGAGCCGGTGGTTGGAAGGCAGTGTTGCCAAAGACAAACTGGCCACTCGGTGTAAACTCCTTGCCAGGGTTGAATTTGAACTCGGGGGCCTTGACATTGAGTTTCGAGAGAGAAGGCTTGCTTGCGTGGCTCAGGCGTCGTTGGTTTCCTGCATTGGCGGTCACAGATGCAACCTCGCTCCACGGGTTGCTGGCAGTGCTAAAGTTACGCTGGTGCTGCTGCAAGATATTGGCAAGGTGGAAATCTTGCACCGGCGTGCCCAGATTGCTAGGATTCGTCTCGATCTCAGCAGCGTCGTCTGCCTGCTGGGTGTCCATGTCCTGCCAAGCATTGAAGCTGTTGCTGCCGTCATGGTTTGCGTTGTCACGATGCTCGTCCTGGAAGTAGTTCTTCGTGAGCGAGTGGCCCCTGCTGTGGGGGCGAGGGTGCTGCAGCTCAGGCCCGTCTCCAATCTGAGTTGCAAAGTGCATTGGGGCCTGGAACTGCATCGATGCTTCTCTGCTGTGCACATAAGAGGGGTCCTCGGAGATGGAGCCCGAGGGCAGAGAAACCAGCTCATCCGCAGCCCTTTCTTCGTTGTGGGGGCTGTAGTCATCGTGCTCAAGTTCATTACGCATCTGCTCCTCCAGATGGTACTCGGCGTCATCAATCTCAGCCTGCAGGTCATCATTGTTCGTGTTCGTGTTCGTGTTGTGAGGCTCCGGGGTTTTCGATGGGCTCTGGTTGATCGGCTCCTCGTCAACTTCCTGAACTTCTTGCAAGCGTGGCGACGCTCTCGCTGAGGGCTGCTGCGCCAGCTGTTGGTGTGGCATCATGGGATATTGCAAGGACTGGTGACGCTGGTGCGCATGGAAAAGTGGGCTGGCTGCATGGAAGCCATCGGGCGTGTAGGGCGAGACAGGAGACAAGACACCGTGCAGAAGCGATGGCGAATCAATACGACCAGGTCCATGATGCATGGGCCAGCCAGCAAGCGAGGGTGAAGCATGGTGGCCTGGCGTGAAAGGGGAGTGCCCGCCTGCGAGGGAAGGCGACGCGTGATGGCCAGGCTGGAAAGGAGAGTGTCCCATGGGGATGGAAATGGACTGTCGCGGGTTGAACTTTGAAGCATGTCCGGGAGTAAAAGCTGGTGAAGCACTTGACAGCACGCCGGGGCTCTGGGCGGCAGAGGCCCGTCCGCCAGGCATGAAGTGCGAAGGAAATGGGAATCCGGGTATGGCGGGATTGCTCGAAGCCGACGACGTTGGCAGGGGAGGCGAGAAAGGTAGGGGCGGGTATTGCACGGAGGGCTGCCTGCTCAATCCGGACGCCGTCATGGCGGGAGACATTGACGGAGCAGGCGCAGGCTCTTCGTCTCCGAAAGAGACGCCCAGCGCACGTAGCTTGGCCTCTTGAAGCTCGTTCACATAGTCCTTCCAGGCATTCAGGTCAGGCAGCGTAACCTTGAAATACCGATCTGCCCGTTCCTTGGAGAGGTCCTCGTCTGCGGGCCAAGTGTTTCGGCTTTGGGAGTATCCCTCCTCGGACTGGAGGCTACCTTGCGCGGCCTCGAGGTCGAATCCAGAGATATCATACCCGAGCTCGTCCCAAGAGGAGAACATGCGTTCTGTTTCGGCGGCTGTCAGAGGCATAGGAGCCCTGCCATCGGTGCCACGCTCGTCATCACGCGGCAGGAGGACCAGGATATTCTTGCCCTTCCAAGGAACCTTCTTCCTCAGCCTGGGCGTCAAAGTAGGCTCCTTGAAGGTGACTCTCGCCGGCGTTCGAGGCCCTACTGCGTCTACCTTTGCTATTGTTTTTGGCGGCGTCTGTGGCCTTTCCAGCGTGTCCTGTGATGAGATGGGCACGGAGAGATCGCCCACAGCATCTAGGCTGGGCGTGTCGAGATCGGGAGACGTCATGTTGGCAAGAGGAGAACCGATGATGTGGTTCTTGGTTTCGGGCTTTAGGGTTTCGACGCTGGATCTTTTTCGGGGGTGGTGCGACGATGTGCGACGGGCAATGCGCGTGGCAGCGGCCGGCTTGGCACGGGGGGTCTGAAGACTGTCCTTGTACAGAGGACCCTCTTCACCAGATCGCGAGCCGCTCAGCGAAGAGTGCTCGCTTCCGTCTTCTCCGTCACTGAGCCAATGGCGACTTTCAGAGTTCTCGCCAGCGGTATGTTGACGGATCCAGTCCTCCGTCAGGCCGCGGGTTGGTCTTCGAACCCGATTGGCGAGGACTTGAGCGGCGCTCACGAAGCTGTCTGATTGAGCAACCTGTCCTGGAGCAAATTGGGGCGGTGGGCGCAGAAACGGGGTCTGGAAGGCTAGCTGATGGAGAGGCGAGTCCTCGGAAGGATCACTGCTGAAGCTCTCTCCGCGCAGATGATTGCGGTCGCCCTGGGAGTATGGCGAGCCCCAGCTGGCGGTCACGAAGCGAGCTTCCTCGTCCTCGATTTCGTTGGGTGTAGACCTCAGAAGATCTTGCGCCCGCCCAGGTAGCCTAGGCGCAGGGAGTGGCGGAAGAACTGGAGAGGAGCCGGCGTCTTGATCGTCGGCTGCTGTTGAGGCGGTCGACAAGGCAGGAGATGCCGGGGTTGGGTGAGGTGGCAGTTGGGCAGAGCCGCTGCCGTCCCGAGCGGAGGGACCGGGAGAGGGTGACGGGGATGCGTGGGAAGACGTCTTTGAGGAGGGCTGCAGGCGCGTGCAATGTCAGCAGTGAAAAGACTTTGGAATGTCCTGACCGGCCGTGTGTGGTCGGTCGGTCGGTCGGTCGGCGGAGAGTGCACTCACTGCAGCGAGCACAGCGCAGACGAGAGGCGAGTCGTCTGCAACTAATGCTCTTTCCTGGAAATGATGACCCTGTGCCGTGATCGGGATTCTCTCGACCAGCAAGCTGCAACGATCCAGCAGTTGACTGGGATGGGGGTTGGCAGACGGGACGAGGAGCGAGAGAGAGTCGGTGGCGTGGCGGAGGGAATGAATATAGGGGTTGAACCTCTGTCGCGACGCGCTCTGTCTCCGTCAGGTCGATGGGAAAAAAGTTGGCAGGCGCTGAAATGCTATGCTGAGTACAGGGGTTCAGGCGAGAACGGGCCAGGTGTGAGTATTTCGAGATCACGGACAGAGGGGCATCGACGCGATGGAGCAACAGCTGGCAGCAGCTATATGCATCGGTGATGACTCTGGATGACCGCGTCTGCAAATGCCGAACAGAGAGGATGGTCGTGAAAGACCGTCGAGCGACTGGGGGGGGACTGGTGGTGTCGACGACAAAGAACGGGACGGTTGGATTGGACAACAGGGCAGGTCTGGATCAAAGCAGGTCGAGGGAAGCTCAAGGTCGTGACTTTGGGGGACCGGGTCCAATGGCCAGGGAGGTCCGCCTAGCACGCTGGAACTCCACTACCCCTAAAGTGAGAAACTCCACTGTCGGCTGGGTCGAGGGACGTGTCGTGGAGCCAGCTCATCAGTGGGTGTGCTGGGTGTGCTGGGTGTGCTTGGTGTGCTCCGTGCTGGGTCGAAAATTATTATTGAAGCAGGCACCAACCGGGGAAGGAGCCATACAGGGAAGCGCATTTTCCCGTCTAATGAGGCGGGACCAGCGCCCAATTTCGGGCGACGTGTTGGTCAGATGGGATGTACCTCGGGGCTGGCGCCAACCTCCCGCTCGACGAATGTGCTCCCTAACAGCGGGTCTTCGACCTACCAGGCTCTTGGCTTCGGGCAATCTGAACCCCTAGAGTTGACCGCCACACGATCCCCACAGCCATGACGGGGAAAGGATCGAGGCCACACCATGACCGTTCTTGGGGGAGGCTTTGTTCACCGTTTCCTCCCCCATTCCAGTCTGTACACTCCTACCCGCTGTCCACTGTTGTGTCTCTGCACGGTAGGTGCATCTCAAGAGAAACAGGACAGGTGACATGACCTAACGGCCCAAGTATTCGCGCTGCACATGTTTGTACCAGGACCCAGAGCACGGCGGCTGCAGGCCAGCCAGACAAAGCAAGGTACCTGTCCCGGCTGAAGTACAGGTAATGTAAGGTACTAAGGCAAGGTACCCGAACACAGGCTGGCGGCGGGACAGGATGCAAGACTAGGACTAGGGGTCCTACCGCACGATGCCTACCTAGGTGCTTGGGTGCCTACCTGCAGGCTAGCTCTCAGTGCATCTCAGTGGCACCCCTTCTCAACAATTGTCACCAACGCAAAATGGCGATGACCTCAAGTGACTTTGCCATGGCGGGAAAAGCAATCAGCCCCATTGCGCGATTGTTCGCGTCGGACATTTCATGCTCGTCCATCACACAGAGTCATTGGACCTTACACACTCCTAGTTTTTGTGGATATGGAACGGGCCGACGCCGCTGTTGCTCCTGGCGTAGGCGTTCCTGGCGCTGGCTTCGTACCAGCGGGAGGCTAAACCAGCGCTCAGGATTTTCTTTGTGGTTAGGGTTTGTCAACCGCGCCGGCGCAATGGGCCCTACTGCTCTTCCTCCCATTGCCTACTTGCCACCCGCGAGACACAACGGCACAGTGGGTGGCGCGAGAGAAGCCCCACGATGTCTCACTACCAAACTCTGGCTGAGACAGAACGCTCACTCGGTCGAGTACCGCCAGATCAACCCCGCAATTGATGCATTCGAAGATACCACGGCTGGGAAATGGCTGGCAGAGGGATCAGAAGATGCCGGGACTGTGATATGACTGAACCAAGTGAAGAGGCCCGCGGACCTATTACAAATGTTATGTACAGCCTTGAACCTTCGAGCTTCGACAACGTGTCTTATACCCTCGAACCTAGCCGTTGCAGAAACCCGAAGACCTTGCCCTCTCTTATCAACAACTGATCACCAAAACATTACCCAACCACTCGCACCCACCTTCAAACATCGCAGAAGTAGTCAAAGTTGGCATCAGAGCTCACCAACGCCCTCTCAGGCTGCGTCGGGCTGTTATTGTTGTTGTTGTTTCCGCCATTATTGTTGTTGTTGTTGTTGCCGCCGCCACCGCCGCCGCCGCCAGCATTCTGATCAAAGCTCTTCTGCGCCGCCTGGCTGATGCCCTGCTTGCAGTCGTCTGGCATCATGTCAGCCGTCGCTCGTTCATGGCCCACTGACGGGGATGGACACCTACTGTTCTGCTTGTCACAATCGCTGACCTGAAAGTTTCCGCCGCCACTGTTCGCCAGCCTGGCGCAGTCGTTCTTCTGGTTGTCGCACGCCCGGCCGGCCGCCGTGTCAAAGTCGGGCTGGTGGTCCCCCGCGCATCAGCATGCGCCCATCGAACAATCGCGCCCACGGAGAGGAAACAATCGCGCCCCACGGAGAGGGAGAACTCACAAAGGTGTCGCCGCCCACCGAGAACGGCCTGTCAGGGTCATTCGACTGCGTGATCTGTTCGTTCGTCGCCCGCTCGTCAGTCCCAGAACAGCAAAAAACGACGTTTGTCAGGGGGTCGCAGCGCAGACGCACCCCAGGCGCTCCGGCGCCGCCCACCTTGCCGTCGAAGAACTGCAGGTTCTGCGCGTTCTGCCGCGGCCGCAGGCCCATCTTCCATCCCATGGCCAGCTCCTCGCTCAGGTCCTGGCTGATGTCCATCGCGTGCCCGGCCGTCGCCAGACCGGCGACGGCGGCCGTGAGCAGGGTCATCCAGCGGGTGAGCATGGCGCGCGCAAGTCGTTCGTTCGTTCGTTCGTTCGCTTCGCTAGCGGGGAGCGATATCGAGTAATCGGGTTGTCGAGGAGTGTGCTCGTCGGGAGTATATTGCGGCGGAGAGCGGGAAGGGAGGGAATTGCGGTGCCTCGTCTGAAGTTTCTCGTGCGCAGTTGGGCCCTCAGAGGAAATCTTCAACGCCCGTGGCAGAGTGATTGGGTTGGTCGGGCGGAGAGGGGTTGGTTGGTGCCTCTCGCGCGGTCGTGCACAGCATTGCTGAAAGATGGGGGAGAGCCATCCGAAACGCCCCTGAGACGCGCCTTGACGGGCATCTGGTGGCTTGC